TGAGGTGCCAACACCTTGTGCAGATAATTAGCATTTTCATGGAAGGTGCTGGTGGAGGCATGTCAGAGCATCAGCAGAGACTACAATGCCTGATGGGAGATTGTGGATGTCCAACAGATATGGCGGCACTCAACAGTTGCCCAGTGAATGATGATGGATGGTCAGTGGCAGATGATAATATCCCATTGGGAGATAATTAATGCCCAATGGGAGATGATGAATGACCAGCTGACACAGAGAATGCTGGTAGGTAATAGTGGATACTTGGTGGATACATACATGCTTGATGAAAACCCGTAAGAGTTCCAGCAATGCCAAATGATAGTTGTTGACTTGTTCATGATGATATGTGGGACAATTTCTGAGGAGTCCCAGAAGTATTTTGGGTGAAAAGTACTTCTAGGTGACTAGGGAATATAAAAGAAGGCTTCAACAAGTTCATGAAAAGATGGGATTAAAAGACAATGGAATTTTCAGACGCCCCTTTGTTTGAAAGTACATTGAATGATAAACTAGTGAATTTATGGTATCGGTAACAAGGTATTCTCTTCTGTACCCACAAACTGTGATGCCTGAGGAAACCTTGGTTATAAAATGTTGTCACAAACTTAAATGCTTTTATGGATCAGGTAAGTGATCTTAGTGAGTAAAACAGCTAGGTATAAGATAATAAGGAGGAATATAAAATATATGAAAGATGAAAACCTACACACTATTGAGTGTCATTAAAATAATAAAGTTAAAATTACTGTGTAAGGCAAAACAAAACTCACCTATAGGCAGAAAGTCACCAAGTTCATGACCACCAGTTGACAATCTCTAATCTATTATGTAATGCTAAGAATCAATGTCCTAAAGCATAATATATCATTTACCCAGAAATGTGATACCACTTTTACACACACAATAAAATTGTTTCACCCTGAGAAAGAACTCAATAATTACAAATCTTGGAAGATATTTAATGTCTATGAGAACATTCTTTCTTATTTGTTAATCAATCAAACAAAGCTGAGGGATTCTATTTATCATATATTATTCCTATGAACTATCTCACTCACTGCCATGGAATCAATGCTGATTCATAGCGACTGCCTATGGATTTCTGAGACTGTAGCTATTTATGGAGGTAGAAAGGCCAATCTTTCTCCCACAGAGCTGCTGGTGGTTTCGAACTGCCACCCATGTGGATCGCAGCCCACCGTGTAATGACTACACTACCAGGGCTCCTTCCTATGAGCTATAGCTTTTCCCAAACATTTAGGTCAAATTGGCCTCCACTAGATAAGCATTGGTGAAATCTCTGAAAATCCCTAGAAATGACAGTGTTACATGAAAATTAATCTGAACTTTCAAAATATTTTGTCAACTCTCTCAAATGTATTTCTGGAGGCTGGATTTGAAAACAACTATCCTATACTAAGAAGCATAAATCTATAGGAAAATAGAGTGAAGGCTTAAGGTATTCTTTAAGGAATAAGAAGACAAAATAATAAAATGGAGGACAACATAGCTTATAGACAAATAATCCAGTGCAGTGGAATAATAAAATTCTAAAGACAATTTGCCATGATTAATATGCATGACATGTAGTAATTTTGTAGGAGGGGAGATGCTTAATTTAGCTGGTTCATATTTATGAAGTAGTTATTCTCGGAAAGGATGTTTGAAATAACATGTAACATAAAGCAAGTATTAAGAACTAGGACTTTGGAGTTTGTTAGGCTTGTGCTGAATATTTAATTTTACCACAGGCTAGTTTCACAGTTTTGGGCACCTTAATTCTCTGAACATTACTTTCTTTATATTGGAAAAAATGAAATAACAATAATATCCTAGGTATTATTTTGTGAAGATAACATTGGCTAATCCGTAGTTTGCTGAATCCCTGGGAAATGTATTTTCAATGAATGTTATTGATTTCAAGTGAGACTATTAAATGCAGTGGTGTATAACCTAGTGCCTTACACAGATACAAGTCAACTGGTTTAGCCCTCTCCATTTCAAATCTTCACATGGTTCCACATTCCCATGAATATATTTAAATGATTAATTAATTAATCAACAATCCTATGTTGCATTATGGTGCAGGAACCTTTTTTAACTTCCATAAAACTTTTAACGACCAAACCCATTTTTGCTCAGCAGACTCTCTATTCCAGCGATGAGGAAACCAAGTCGAATGCACTTACCTTTTCAGAAGGTCCAAGTTGAGCAGATAATTGTTATGACTAGGCTGAATTTAGACTGCTAGGCAAAACTGTAAGGAATTTTTAAAAATCTTAACATTATTATTATTTTGGCATTCATATATTTTAGTGAATTTTTTAAATGGCTGGATATAAAATAGGCAATTTCAATTTCTAAAAGGAGATGTTCTAAATAAAAGAATGCAGACTACTGAAATAGACAACACCTTTCCTCACCAAATGATCTAGTATTTACTTCGACACACAAATGGTTGATCTCTGTGAATTGAACAGCAGTGTGATGGGGAAAGTTTCAAAGTCCCCTGGATGCGTACTTTGGGATCTTTTAAACGAGTTACAAATGCATTGTGTCTGAAGAGAAATAATAGTTAACCGAATGAGGACTTGGGATGGCAGAAGTGTACTGAGGCAAATTTAATGACTTATGGGAAAGCAGTGTAGATACTGTGTGATACTTTATGGGAGAGAATCAGAAGTAGGGCCATTTAGATAGGCACGAAGGCTGAAAACGTAGAGGGTACAGGTTTGGCAGCCGCTGGCGTAATGAAGATATCAATTGGTGGTCTGATAATGAATGCCTTGGGGAAATGTCGACAGTTCCCTATGAACCCTGCGCCCTTTATCCTATAGCTTGAAATTCCTCTGGTCATTAGAAAAGGTGTTCATTATTGCCTGAACCTGTTGCAAATCCTGTTAATTATCACCTTCACAACTTGTTTTATTTTCATTTTATAGTAGTTTGGTGTATAAGAAGGTTGCTCACATCTCTAAATTTCTGTGATGATGGCTAACCATTTGGGGGTCATTTCCAAACTTCTAACTGAAGAGCTCATCTTTCAGTGAAGGCAGGTTTGTTTTCTTGACTGGAGGGCTTTTGGGAGATGTTGAGCATGGTGAATGAGGGGTGGTATGTCCTTAGATTTTGTTGTCTTCTTTTCTTTAATCTTGTAATATAAACATTTTCCCCTGTCTTATTTCTATCACTGCATTTATTACTTCACCTTTCCCTTACATATTTTTTTCTGTATGCGAGATACAGATCGGAAGACTGTCTTCTTGAGCCCTGTACATACTTTTAAGTCCCTTCCCTGTCTAGGGGAGGTTTTCAATAATCTCATGCTTGGGTATATTTTCTTTCCTATGGTAATCTTATTTTAGGCTCGCTACTTACTCTTCACTTTTCTATGCATATGTTCCTGGGATTTCCTTTATCTACATAATAGCTTGTAATGAGAGCCTAACAGATAATACATTTTGATTTTCTACTTGCCTATGACTGAAAATTTGGATGTTCTCCATACTTGCTGGTGGTATTGTCTAAATTTATTTGTTCTTCTATCTTATTGTTTAGGAAGAAAATGGAAGTGTTTGGTGATTTGGATTGATTATTTGGCCAACTGGCTATCTTTTTAAAAGAGAAACTGGGAAATGAAGCAGCACAAGACAAAGTATGGCATCTAAAATCACTTCACTTAAATCACCTCTTCTTACATAATTGTGGAGCTATACAGTAACAAAATATCCACTAAGGAAGTAAAGCACCGAAAGTTTGAGGGTAAGGCATCCTTAAAACTCAGAGACTATGAGAGGGTTGCACAAAATTCACGGGAAAAAATCCATTATCTTTTAATTCCATTTTTCCATGAAAACTTTGAAGCCTCCTCTTATAAGAAAAAAAACATTTCTTAGATTATTGTTTATAGCATTCCTATTAAGATGATCTTTTGCAATTGTATGTTTTGTGCAATATAATTAATTTTAAGTGTCTTGAGAGGTTGTTATCTAGACATTTTGATCTTTTTTTAGGATTTGGCGACCTTATACACTCTCAATATTATTCCATTTAGTGTAATTCCATTACATATTCCAGGGAGTAGGGGTGTATTTTCATTTCTTTTATAAGATGAACATATGAGCCATTTAATTTATGCGGAGTCTTCAAGTTCTTAGTACATGTACTTTGTAGTCTTATATAGGCAATTCTAATAATTCATTTTAAATACCCTTAACTGGAAACAAAGCTTAAAGGGCAGAAAAGCACAAATGAAAATCGATCATCTTTACCACTGTGTATATGGATGGATGTGTAGCCTCTCTAACATATTGAAAGTTTCAATTTCTGAATTTTCATAGTGATAAGGTGAACTGGCAGGTATATACTTTGTAATTAATTTGGTTATCCCTTGTCTCCTTGTAAAACCATGAGTTATAGATTGCATTAGAAAGAATAATAGCTACTAGCCAGTGTTTATTATGTCCTAAGTACTTAGTAAGAACTATTCAACATTTATTTACTAAAGATGATGGGCCAGTTTCCCCCTCTTTGATGTAGTACCAAGAATATGCACCACTCAGAACTCAGATGTGTGAGATATTTTCTAGCTGCTAAAAGCAAGTTCAAAATCACCAGTTCTTTGCAGGCTCCATGGGAGAAAGATGAGGCTTTCTACTCCCATAAAGAATTATAGTCTTGGCCACTGAGTAGAAAGTCTCATCTTTTCTCCGAGGAGCACTTGGTGGTTTCAAACTAGCCCTAAGGGTCAGCCACTACTACACCAGGGCTTTTGCTTGGATACTACTATTCACGAAATAGACTGGCCCTCCCTCTGCACTTAGCTCATAGATTGGCTTTCTGGAGACAGTTATCCAAATCACCAGCATTGCATGAACAATACTGGTTTAGTTAAACAAACATTTCCAATTCATTTCCAAATGATATAAATGAAATAATGTGTATACTATATTCTTTGGCACCAATTAGGATAGAAAGATAAATACAATTGAACTTACCATAAAGGATTGCAAGCAGAGAGATGGGCATGACAAGTAGTCCCACCAACATGTCAGCGATGGCTAGGGACATTAAGAAGTAATTAGTGGCATTGTGCAGTTTCTTTTCCATGCTTACTGCCATGATAACGAGTATGTTGCCACCGATTGTCATGATTATTATTACCACGATTGCAAGTGCTGGCCAGTTTTGTACCCCGTCTGGAAATTTGAAGCGTCCACCATCGGAGGAATTAAAAATGTCAGTTACTAGAGCTGAAACTGGGCTCACAGATATATCACATTGCCAAACCAATAGGCCAATTAGGTGCACACTGAAAAGAAGGGGGGGGGGACAAAAAAACAAAACCAATAATGAGTCATAGATATATTATTTTGCTTTTATATAATACATTCTTTAACCTTCTGAAATTTTGCTTTTAAAAAACAATCACTTCTCTTTCAACAATCACCATCATTGTCATCCTTGCTGCCTTTCCCAATTAAATCTCATTATTTTGCTTTCTGTAGCCAAAGAATATTAACTCGCATTGAGTGCTTATTAGGAGTTAAGAACTGGGCTTACTGATAAATAACCCTGTGTGCGCTTGTGCGGGCATACACAGGAGGATAAGTAAAAAAGATTGCTACTAGAGTTCACATTCATGCACATCATGGTTTAGTACAAAGAAAAAGTGCTAATCATTTCTCACAATATGTACACAAAAATCACAAGTTCTCTCAGCAATTAATATAAATTATTATTATGTTATATACTAATGCAATAGAAAATTATCAGTAGGTAAATAAAATGAAAACTTAGTTTATAAATCTGAATACATTTTAAAGCTATTGAGCTTTTGTGTCATTTGAAGCTGTCCTATGATACCCAATGGAAAGGAAAAACTTGAATGTGAATTCCACAATTTTATTACAGAAAAGAGTTTGGCACAGGGACTAATGACTATGTACTGAGTTGATAAATGACTTAGGATATTTGCCCTTGGAGCTTCTCAAACCTAATTCTTCTTTTACTTCATCACTTCCCTTCACCACTTCCCTTCCCTGTTGTCTTCTCTATTTCTATTTCAATCACAAATACATGAGCTTATAACCACTCTAATGTCATCCAAGATGTTTCACAGTGATGTATATAAAGAAGAAGAACCCACTACTGAGGCACTTTCTTTTTATTCTACTCTGTAGAGTTTCTCATGGGTAAGCTTTTTTTTTTTTTGGGGGGGGGGCAGGAATCAGAGAAGAGCCAGTGTAGTAGCAAGGAAATCAAGGGCTTTTCAGATGAAGTGGTCAGAAAATACACAGTCATGGGTCTCTTTTGCCATACCCCATTCATCAAAGAGTAAGTTTGGAAGCAAACGAATCCAACATTTGATGATGTCAAAAAGAAGATATGCTTGGATCAGATCAGATTTTGAATTTCTCAGTAAATGAGTCATATCTCTTCTCTTTCCACTTTTTGTGACATTCTACATGCTGCCTTTAGTTATTGGTGATTGCAAGAGAATATGAGGCCAAGGCTTGAAATTCAGTGTCAAGACCCTTCTGCTATATGTGACCCTATCCATAATCCCTATTGTCTATCCTTTGCTTCTTTAATCTTAACTATTCTTTATAAGAAAACAATTTTGTCATAAAGACATTTCATTCTCTTGGTTTCTCAGCTCATACAGGATGAAAAAGGAAATGCCATTTCTCCTTTTGACATTTTGCCCATAGAGAAAGTATTTGAACTGAGAGGTTTATTACCATATTGCTTATTTGAAAAGATGAGTTGGTGTGTTAAAATTAAAATAGATTTGTGTACATGTGTTCTGATTTGATTTTGAATAGGAAACACCCATAATATTTATTTTTGGGATATCAGCTATTTATATAGCTTGAGACAAATACAAATAATGGTTATATAAAACATTTTTTAATCTAATCAACCAATTTTTTTAATTAAAGGGATACAAAATAAATAACATCCTTACAGGAGCGTTTGCACCGCATTCCTCAGGTTCACCATGATTGCTTCAGACTTAAGCAACCACAGTTGAAAATTGAGATAATCAAATTAAGGAATTGGATTCATCATGTCATTTTTTTTTCCTGGGGAGAGAAAAAGACAAAGAAGTTAGTTAAAAGTTCACATAAATCACATAACAACAAATTAAATAGACTTAAATATATTAGCGGTGTCTTAAAAATTGTTAATACCTAATTTAGCAAACAGGCAAGAATGTTATATTGAGTTAGTCCCAGAAGAAAAGATCAAAGAGAACATGTTCCATTTACTTACTAGTATGCAATCATTGTAATTTTTCTAGCCTTTCTAGTAAAATCTTCGTTTATGTGGGACATCTACTTAATCTCCTCAAGATGGAGTTCACTTCCAATCATGCTTAAGAAAGAAACGAAGAATACATGGCTCTAAATTTACAAACAATGAGTGAAAAGTTTGTGATGTAATCATTTAGCAGCATTGGGAAAGTGGAACTGTTTAATCTTATGGGGACTTGAAAAACCAAACTTTATAGCATTTTTATAAAGTGAACGTAGTTTGCACAACATACCAGTTGCTCTTTCCAAATCAAAGTAATAACTTTATCAATACATTTTCATTGACCAGTAGTATGTTGCAGAGGACAACAACAGGAATATCACAAAATAAATTAATTGGTTAAATTTCAGTTTTCCACATTTTAATACTGTTAACCAGTGATTAGTCAAAAGGTAGTGTGTTACAGTCAAGACATATGGGATCTGGTTGAACATTGCAAACATATGGTCAATTGAACTAGACTGCTGAAATAAAAATCATTGGATTATTTTGTGCTTAAAAAAGACATGAGGTCTTCTAAGATATTAAAAGAGAACCACAAGAACCCTTAAGTGATTTATCAAAGTATTTCAGAAAATATCTATTTCATGTCTGTTGCCTAGGAGCTATTTGTCTCATCATGAAATCTGATTATATATTCACCGAGCAGATTCTTTATCATTTACCACGGACTATATTCAGTAGGCTAACATGTGACTAAGTTGACTAAGAGTAGTCTGAATACAAGTTTGCTGAGAATTTCTGCTACTTCCCTTGTGGAAATGGCATCTTGATGGAGTGTAACTTGTCAGGGTTAATCTTGACATTGACATTGAAGAAATACTCAGGGGGAAATCAGGATAATAACAAAGGTACTCATACATTTTTCTACCAAGAGGTCCTAGCTGGAAATACAGGGGTTAGTTAGGCTTCATATGTACCCTCTGGCCATTTCTGCATCTTCTATCTAGGAGTTGCTTTCTATTCGGTGCACCAACTATATACCTCATTGTGGTGTTTTCTAGAATCAAAAACTATTAGGAGACTCAGGGTCATGACACTGTTTATGAGGGGAAAATGTGGTGTTTGGGGGGTGAGTGGGGTGGGGTGAGAGGCAAGCAGGGCAAGAAGTAAGATAAGGTATTGGATAGCTTGAGAACACTAACACTAAAAGATTTTAAAAATCTAATTTGTTACTTTTTTTAGGAATATGATAATAAAAATCTGATGGTAATCTTTCTGTTGCATTTCTGACACCTTGGAGATATTTGGAAATAAAATTTCACCAAATCAACTTGCACCTCCTTCATTCACATCTATTTTAAAAGCACATTTATTGTTACACAAGCTACACATTTCATTTTTGCATCCTTCTTTATCCCTTAACCTTCATTTGCCAATTCTGTCAGTACAATTCCCAATAAAATCTTCCTCAGAATCATCCCCTTCTGATGATGCTACATAAAACATGAACTGTAGCATTTAGGAACTCAAAATTTTGTGTGGGAGGGAGAGAGATACAAATGCTTAGTCAGACCTTTTTTTCCAGACCATTTAAAAAAAATTATTTTATTGGGGGCTCGAACAACTCTTATCACAATCCATACATCCATCCATTGTGTTGAGCACATTTGTACATTTGTTGCCATCATCATTCTCAAAGCATTTTCTTTCTACTTGAGCTCTTGGTAGTTCCGCCCCCCCCTCCTGAACCCTTGATAATTTATAAATTATTATTTTGTCATGTATTACACTGTCCAATGTGTCCCTTCACCCACTTTTCTGTTGAGTCAGACCACTTTTTGTTCCATCCATAAAATCTTGTGGAGGAAAACATGAATTCGTTTTGCGGGGTGGGTGTGGAAATTTGAGACAAAAAAGGTCAATGGAGCCACTAATTGCCACTGAATCAATTCTGAGTCATGGTGTTTGCAGAGTAGAACTAGACTTCAGAGGATGTTCAAGACTGTGATTCTTTGGAAGCACTTTGCCAGGCCTTTCTTCTGAGGCACCTTTGAATGGATTTGAATGGTCAACATTTTAGCTAGTAGTTGAGCTCTGAAACATTTGTATAAACCAGAGATTCCCAGCCTGCTTCTTATGTGTAATTGCCACTCAGTGGACTCCAACTCCCGGGGACCTTTTTTTTTGAAGCAGCATTGACTAATGGAAAATATACTGTCAGTACTATGATTCAGACACAGGAATGATAGATGCTCACAGATGTTGCCTACAGACATGAATTCTCAAAAAGCTTAATTTGTGGTATGAAAGAACAAATAATTCCATCAGGACTATCTGGAAATTAAATGCATTGACTATAAATGCATGCTTCAAATTTTAACCCATTTTTCTAATCCACCCCCTGCCTCCAAAAAAGAAAGAACATTTTCCAGGTTGAAAATAACCTTGCCTAAATGTTGTGCATGCTAATTAAGGAGACTGGAGAATTAAAAGGGAAGGATCCTAAAAGGTATAGAATCTTAAAAAAAAAAAAAGAGTAATTCTACAGCTGAGTAACCCAGGGCCCCTTTTTGGAATAGGCACCCTTTTTTTAGACTCTGCTTACATAGCATTTATTTAGTTACTGCGTGTGTTTTCTGCAGGCAAGTTCTTTTAAAGAAGAAGGATAAACCCACTGGGTTCAGAATATTTGAAAAAAGGAATATAAAGAACCCATAAATTAGGACTTTTATATGTGCAGAAAACTGCACTTCATAAAGTTTTCCTAAATAGCAATGCTAAAAGGATAAAAATAGTTTTCCATTCTATTTTTCAAATCTTCATAGAATAATATAATTTAAAAGGTCCAACGTATCATGAAATATGCCATGGTCCAATAGATTATCACAAGACAATTAAGACTGAATTTTCACAAATTAAGCTTCTCCATCAAAGGAAAATGACAGCTTAGGGAACCCTAAGGGGGAGTTCTCATCTATCCAATAGGGTCACTATGGGTGAGATGTCATTGGATGGCAATTAGCTCTTATTGTTTTGACTTGCTAGTATTTTATGAACTTGGCATTGGGCATGACTCTAGTCACGCTATGCCTTCTGTTTCATTTATTTGATGATGATAATAATATGTTGCGTCACAGTTCATATTGTGTGCTCTCCAAGAGATGTCCATTTCCCCATCTTAACACGTTATCCAAGTGATGGCAGAAATGGCATCAAGATAGTGGTCTACATAATACTGTACATTCAATATATTATTCCAACCAGTACACATACTACCTAGGGGAAAGAAAGAGGGTGTGCCTAGGGAAAGAACAAACAAAACAAAAAGGAAGAGGCAAAGGGAAATGACAAGGCAAAGTTTGGAGAAGAATACAAGCTTATACTGTGAAATATGTTTAAAAGGAGCTTAGCCGTGACCATCTCAATATAGTAGTATAGAAAGGTCCAAATTTTATAATTGTCTGAAGAAAAGGAATGATAAGATGATTGGCCAGGTTAGACAGGTGGGTGGTGAGAAAATGGAAAATTAACTGGTTATTATCTGAAGGAATCTAACCAACTCAACACAGAGAAAATGTGTTTTAAAGATGAATTTTTGTGTAAAGGAATCCTACGTGTACTTCCCTCATATCAGCATTGTCGGCAGTTCAAACTCACCAGCAGCTCCTACGGAAAAAGAGTAGGCTTTCTACTCCCATAAATAGTTACTGCTTCAAAAACCCCACAGGGGTCACTATGACGTAACATTGACTCCATGGCACCAAGGAAGTTCATATTAACTCCCACATTCCCTTAGCCTCCTTCCACTTAAATAGTAATTTGTAAGAAAGGCAGGAAAAGTGAGAGACTTGAAGCGATCTCGTGTGAAATCTGACGACAGGGTGAGGGAAGTCTCGAACTATAAGAAGAGCTGTGACTGGTCCAAATTGTCTCTGGGGGAGATAGAAATCTTCAAATGTATTAGAAAATCAGAACTCTCCTTGAATTTCCTAACGCTAGTCATTTATCATTCTTTTTACGATTAAGTTCCCCCATCCTTTGGCCCTGAAGGAAAATTGGTCATGTTTCCATTATATTTGCTTTCTCCCAACTCTTCCTTATTCTCTAACCCATTCTGAGTTGATTCCCAGCCCTTCAGAGCCAATTCAGAATCATCACGACACTAACGGACAGAGGAGAGCTGCCCCATAAGGTACCTAAAGCTGTCATCTTTAGGGGAGCCAGCTGCCACATGTGTCGTCCTCAGAGTGGCTGGTAGATTCGACTTTTGGGTTAGCAGCCACTGCCTACAATCTCCGCCACCAGGGTCCCTTCTTTCTTGATTAGACTTGACCAAATGTATCAGTCATGAGATTAAAGCAACTATGGCAATGTTTCGCTGATGTTTCAATAAAGTTTAGGGGTTATAGAACAACTGGCAAAAAGATATAGCATATATTAGATACCTAGAAATTCCATGAGCTGAACAGATTAAACAGATTATTTTCTCTCATAGTTAGGAGACTTGTAAATCTTAGATTGAGGATTTCTGATAGTGATATGGAAGGCAACTGAGAGTGTTCATTCTTGTCAGACTTTTTAGAACAAAGAATTTGACAATAGGTAAAAATAAATGTTGAGATTTTATTCTGTTACTTTTATTTAGCTCATCATTATCTTCCATGAGCTTGGCAATGTTCAGGGGAGAAAGGTCAGAAGTGGATTAGGCATAGCTATTCACATATGTTAATATGGCACAGATTGGTGACATTTAAAAATAATTTTTATTATTAAAATTATCCCCATGAGTGATAACAATTGCAAGAATTTTCCTTTCACGTCATCT